GACTCACCCCCTGTACATGCCGGTTAATTATCGGCACGTACTTCTGGGACACCCTGTATACCGGTTAGTTCCAATTTTCCAAGATATTTCAATTTTTCTGTTTTTTACCAAAACTGCTCTATAAAATAATGCTCTCTAATATAAAATGATCTATGTCGAGTACAATGAGACGAACATTTCCCAACAAAATGAAATTGGTTTTATAGTATGAAATATTTGCGACAAAAAAATTTCATAATTGGACGTATTTATTCATCAAAAACTATTTTAATTTTCGTATCAATTGAAATTTAATGATTTTTAAAAAATGGTTATAGAAAATTTTTTCGTGCGAATCTCAATAATAATTTAATAAATGATAATTGATGATTAATTATAGATGAATTAATCATCACCTATCATTATTTAGCATTTATTATCAACCTATCTTCCTTGCTTGAAAAAGTAAGGAAGTGAGAATGAGAGGTAGGGATGGAAAGAAACAGGTCAACTGGCGAAAAGAGTTTCACGGGCCTTTCCATCATTTTCAGGCTCACAAATATCCAATGGTGTCATGCCGCGCACAAACACAGCGTAAATGTGACGTCACAGTAGCTGGCAACGCATGCGATATATATAGATATAGTGGACTCCCAGAGTAGAGGTTCTCAGCGCGGAGATATATTGAGGGGTGGAATCGGAAAATCGCGTCTACCTTCTAAAATATAAGGGATGGATAAAAATGTTTCAAATAAACTTTGTTTCGTATTTAAGAATAAAAATTATGGAGGAAAAAAAATTTTTTTCATCGATTGGATTAGAAGTTACCTTTCCTATTTCATAGTAATTTTTTGAATTAAATTATATTGCTACGAAAATATAATGACTCAGATTTTTTAATATTTTTTACTATTCTTTGAAATTGAAAAATGACATTTTTTCCATTTTTTATCAATTTTTTTCGCCTATCGTACATTTGAACAGCTGTAGGGGTTGAACGGTACAAAATAGAGATAAAGTGCTTCATATGTTTTTTATCGGAAATATTTTGCTCTTCAAATTATATTCGACCTTTTTTTCTGTATGTAGTGTACTTTGCAAATTAATCGCGAAAAACCATTTTTGAGGGTAGTTTTTAATTTTTTTCTGGGATTGCACAAACTTTGATCACTTAAAATTACTTGCCCGTTAATCACACGATCAAAACACACATTTCCACATAAAAAGCGTCTTGGCTTCATGAAACACATATGTTAGACCTAATTTGCCTGGACTAAATTCATCTTGGTGAAGTCTAGGCGGTTTCTTTGAACGTAATTCCACGTTCATTCCTCAATTTTCCACCCCTGAGACCTAATTACCGGCCCGGGAAAAATAATCATCTGTCTATTGCCCCTATGATTATATTTTTTGAGGGTCTACAGGGGCTGGCATTTATGTCCCCATAAAACGCGTTTTTTCTAGGGAATTTTCTAGGGAAAAATTTTCCTAGGGTCATGTCGGGCAAAAATCGCTCCACCCGGGGCTTAAACTCTTTTTTTTACGGTATTGGTGGACAGGCTCGTTTCTCGCGACAAATGTAGGTTCCTTCACTATCTAAATTTTGACATAGCAATCTACTTGCTGTTTTAACGACTGATTATAATTTCTGACTTTATTATTTTCGAGTCATTTTCATTTATTCTTTCTGACTAGTATTTTATGATTTGACTTGTAGTAGGCAATTTGTTTATTAAAATATGTGTTTATCAATTTGTAATTTAATTAATGTTATTCGTTATCGAGAACAGCGTGATCATTAGTGTTGATAGTAAGTCGGGAATTTTCAAATATTTTGTTTTACTCTCCTAATTTCAATTATATTAAATAATTTTGGGACCCCGCAATCTACGGACTTATTTGCATTAAAATACCCTACTGATTTCAGAATTTTAGGACATTAATTGCAACCCAGCCACCTCCACGGTTATTATAATGACTGGTCGTAAATGTCCCTTTTCGTTATTTATCTTTTCCATTTTGGCCGTTTTACCAAAAACCTCCTGGCGCCTAACATTTGTCGATTTGAGGTTAATCGCCAAGAGCTGCGTCTTTTCGTAATTTCTTCCGCGGAGTACGAAATACGTTACAATATACAGTTTTTCTGAGAAGGCATGGAGAAGGTGAATTTGGCTCCATTCTGCCAAACGGGTCCAGAGCGTGAAAACTTTGGTTGCTATGAGTCCGTAGGGTTACACAGATCATAAATACATAAAATGCAAATCATCTCTATGCATCATGCGGAGTTCGTCTCGCATCCTTTCTTGTCAGCTGAAAACACTGGGACGTTCTTTCAGAAGGCGAAAGGAATTCCTGGTGTAGATCTTGTCGGAGGGTACTAAGAAGTTTCGGTAAACAGACAATAATCATTGACGTAATAATTTCTCTGGTGAAAAACCTATTGGTATTGAAGACAGAAGAGAGAAAGAAATGGCAAGGAGAAGAATCCATCGAAAACAGTCTAGAGTTGAAATCTTTTGTCTCTGATATTGCTTATTAAACACCCCCTTCCCCTGCTGTCACTGTTGCCACGACGAGTGCTACAGAAAGGTAGCGGCGGATAAGTCACTCATTATGTTTAACTAGTAGCGGTAGGTGATTGGGTGCAGTGAATGCAGAGTTTTTAGTAAATGTACTCACGACTGTTTAAAAATCCATCTTTCTGTGTGCCCATTGCTTATAAGTGTACCAACATGTGTTGTATTTGATGTCGACAAAATCGCCACGTCCTCGCTATAGCCCTAGAAAACGCAAAGAGAGATGTAGTAACATCTATATCTCCGATACTAATGTTCTCACTTGAAAATGGTGCCCAGATCCTTAATTAAGTGACAAAAGCCCATCTAAATAAATATACTGTTTGAAACGAAGCCTAATTTATCGGCATCGGCTACCTTCGAAAATCACCGGAAAACCTTGGGTCACTGGTCAGGCCCACTCAATCAACAAAATTGTCGCGTCAGTCAGTCAGCCACGAGTATTCAGAGCACTTACTTTATTTTCGTGCAATCAGGAAAATTCTCCGCCCCGAGCCGCGACATTACATCGCCGTTCGAGGTGTTCAAATTAGTACATCTCCTTTCAAATTTAATCGAGTACGATCACCAAATTGTGTTAAATTAATTGCCACAATAAATTCACCGAGAACGTTAGAATTAAGTTCCTCAGTATTGTTAACAAGTGATAGACTTCAGATGAGGCGGCTGGATTCCGCCGGAAGAAACGACGCATTTTTAAATTCAGTGTCTCACCATTGTTCACCGAGTTTCCCGCTACCGCTTTTCGCCAAACATATACAAAATCCAGAATGGTTTAGAGCAGGGCTGGGCAAACTCTGCTCTGACAGCAAGTCGTGCTCCCGACCTCTATTAGTGCGCAACAAAGGGTAAACGAGAGCCCATTGTATCGGGTGATGGGCCTTTATGACCTAGATCGTAAAGGCCCTTCTCCTCCGCTGAGATCAACCGAAGTGGGGGTGACGCTTAAGAAAAGGAAAAGAGGAGAGATGAGACTCAAGTAAAGGAAAAGCAGCGAAATAAGTCGATCAGACAAATTTCTCTAAAGTTTCTAAAGTCTCTAAAGAACAATTCATTCAACATTATTGACAAAAAAATGTCGTCCCTCGAAACAACTCTTATTCTGCAAATGTCACGAGCTGAATTTATTGAAGACATTTTCAAGGAGTGCAAGGAGGACGTTAAGTTTCTGCTCTAGGGTCCAAGTTGGTGATGCTTGAAAACTATTGGGCTAAATTAGAGGCTACTCACGAGAAATTAGCCACCCAAAAAATCGAGAGTGCGACCTTTCTCGACTATTTCCAAAAACAGGTCTTTAATATTGCGCTCAAACAGTACGCCTCAGCTAGGGTAGCTCTGCTACAACTCTTGGAGAATAAAGGAACTCCAAATTTAAATCAGTCTTTACGATTGCCTCAAGACGACCAACCGATTAGCTCTACTCGACGTGCTCTACCTGGGATTGAGTTGCCAAAATTTTCAGGGATTTACAAGGAGTGGAGGTCTCGGAGAGATCTCTATCAATCTCTGGTTGGTAATAATCAGGACGTTCCCGGAGTCGAGAAGATGCATTATCTTCGGCTCTGTCTCACTGGTGAGCCTCTGAAGCTCATTTCTAGCTTGCCCGTCTCAGAGGATTCCTTCCGTTCCGCCTGGAGAACTCTACTGGATCGCTATGAAAATAAGCGATTGCTCGTTGCAGCTCATCTGGATCAGCTCCTGAACACAACTTCAATGAAGTCTCACTCTGCTTCAGATCTAAACTTTCTGACCAGCTCTGTTACTGAAGCCCTCAACTCTCTCAAAGCATTGGATCTGCATACTGATCATTGTGGTCCATTGGTTGTCCATGTGCTCACTCGTCGCTTGACTAATAAGCTCCGTGAAGCTTGGGAAAATAAGATCGGAGCTTTCACGGAGTATCCCACGCTCGAAGATCTCCTTGAGTTCCTGCAAGGTCGCTCTCGAGCCATGGAGACCCTGGAGAGTGGTTCGCAGTCGCTCTCTTCTCGCAACTCATCTCGTCCTTCTCAGCCTAGCGTACAGACTCGATCCACGACCAACAGCACCGCCAAGGTCAACTAGGTGACAGTCCTTCCAGCAGTCGTCTCAGAAAGCTCTAGGTCTAGCTCAAATACAGTCCACACAATCATTATCTTGGGCTGACGCTGGCTACTCTTGCTCATCCTGTAAGAAGGACCATTACATCGCCTCTTGCAGTGGCTTTAAGGATCTGTCACCCGTCGCTAGGAAGGAGATAGTCGACAAGCTCTACCTGTACTATAGCTGTCTTGAGAAGCACGGCATTAAAGTCTGCCAGACATCTCGTATGTGTAGAACTTGCCAGGAGAGGCATCACACTCTCCTGCACCTTGATCGTTCTCGTCGCCCTGCTCAGAATCAACCTGCTCCTCTGACTTTTTCAGCTCAGCCTCAGCCTCAGCAATCAACCAGAACTGCTCAGTCGTCAGGAGTACCATCAGTGATCTACAATAGTGCAATGTATAATAATTCTCCATATCATTTTTGCGAGAAAAATTACTGAAAAAATGGATAGTCCAGACCGGGACTTGAACCCGGGACCTTCCGATTATGCATCGGGTGCTCTCCCAACTGAGCTATCCGGCTCCTAGCCATTTCTTCCATTCACTTTTCTTGCCTATATGGAGCACCGCCGTCCTTCATACGGCATACATTTTTACATCTTGGAAGGGAAGTTTATATAGCGTTCCACATTCTATTTGTGACGTCATAGGAGTCGTTGGATAGGATTTGGATGAGGTAGGAATTGTCCAATGAATCTATACCAAGATGGATTGGTCTTCTCCAGAACTCCGTAGTAGAATTACACGGATTCTCAGACGCCTCGCAGCTCGCTATGTCAGCTGTGGTTTATCTCAAGGTCTTCAATGGCGATGAAGAACTTCGTATCTCATTGGTCTGCTCAAAAACGAAAGTAGCTCCTCTCAAACGGCTGACAATCCCCAGGTTAGAGCTCACAGCGTCAGTTCTTCTTGCCAAACTCATGAAATAAGTCAAGAATCAACTTGATTTCTTAAACGTTCCGACGTTTTTATGGACCGACTCGTCAGTTACGCTCACGTGGATCAGCTCTCACCCTTCCCGATGGAAGGAGTTCGTGAGAAATCGTGTTCAGCTCATTCAAGAAGTAACTGATGCTCAGTGGAAACTCGTTCCTGACAAGGAGAACCCAGCTGAGTGCGCATCTGGTGGATTGACCACAGCACAACTCGCCTCACATGAGCTCTGGTGGCACGGTCCGCCATGGCTGAAGAGAAGCTCATCTCATTGGCCATCTCTTAAAATCTCGTCAGTAGCATCAGCGGATCTTGAAGAGAAACTGCTGACCTTGTCCAGAGGACGAAAACTTAGCTCATCTCACCCACTTACGCGATTGACAGCGTTCTTGGATCACCAGGGAGTTCTTCGTGTTGGCGGTCGTCTGAAGTTTACTCAGCTCGATGGTGACAGCAGGCTATCATCCCGAAGGAGTCGCAGTTTGCTCAGCTCATCATCAAGGATGCTCATCTCAGGACTCTTCACGGTGGAACGCAGCTCACGCTTGGACAGCTCAGACGATTTTACTGGATCCTCGGAGGTGGAGCGCCAGTAAGATCTTTCATATTAAAATGTGTTCCATGTGCGAGACAGTGAGGAATCAGAGCCCAACCACTCATGGGCCAACTCCCAGTAGCACGTCTCTCTCCTGGCCATGCGTTTCTCAATACTGGAATTGATTACGACGGACCAGTTTCGCTTCGCTCATGGAAAGGACGTGGCCATAAATCCTGCAAAGGCTGGCTCGCGATTTTCGTTTGTATGGCCACGTCCGCGATTCATCTCGAAGTCGTCTCAGATTACTCGTCTGACGGCTTCATGGCAGCGTATCGTCGTTTTGTCGCTCGGCGCGGGCTCTGTAGGAATTAGTTCTCAGATTGTGGAACAAATTTCTTCGAAGCCGACAAGGAAATTAAAAGACTCTTCTCAATGGCGTCCAAGGAATCGGACCAGCTTGCTCATCTTTTGCTCAACGACGGTATGAAATGGTCCTTCAACCCTCCAGGAGCTCCACATTTTGGAAGGGAATGGGAAGCGGCAGTGAAGTCAGTGAAGTTCCATGTCAAACGAACCATTGGTGATGACCTGCTCACTTTTGAGGAACTCACGACTTTACTCACGCAGATCGAAGCCGTACTCAATTCTCGACCACTTGAACCTCTCTCGGAAGATCCTGATGACGTCTCAGCTCTCACTGCAGGACATTTCCTAATTGGACATGCTTTGACAGCTCTGCCTGAACTTTCTCTGGAACCCTTGGACATCGCTCGTTTAACTCGTTGGCAGCTCATCCAGCAGAAAGTTCAGAGCTTCTGGAATCGGTGGTCCACTAGCTATCTCCAGCATCTGCAGTCCATATCTAAGTGGCACCACCCATCTCACGACATCAAGATCGGCTCTATAGTCCTTCTCACCGACGAGAGATTTCCACCAATGAAATGGCCTCTCGCTAGAGTTATCGCTCTCCATCCTGGTAGAGATGGACTCACCAGGGTGGTAACCATCAAGCGTCCAGCTCTACTCTACAGCGGCCCATCGCTAAGCTTGCCCTTCAATCAGTCTCGACCAGCGACTTTTGATCTACGGGACCAGCTCATGAAGATCTTCTCCAAATCTTCTAGCTGCTCATCGTTAGTACATCTCCACGGCTGGGTTCATCACTACTTCGTTCTTGTTCAGATCTCGATCAGGATTTACGCCCTTCATCTTGGACTCTGGGCGGGAGTGGAAGCCAGTCAGCCTACATCTGAGGAATTTACGCCTCCAATGATTTCTGGACTTCTGTTCTGGATAATCTTCCAGAGTCAACGTTAGAAAATCTTAGGAAGAGTATTAATTTTCTAGTAGTTTTTCCAGAGAAAATAGTGGGAAACCTTCGGAAAACTATTCAGCAGATTGTTCGATAAATTGTTTTCTTCGTGGCAATTATGCTACTCCATGTAATAGCCCTCCTATAGAGGGGATTTAGGAGAGGTTTAGGAGAGGTTCCTATATAAACGGGATCCTCATTTAGAAAGAGTTTTCACATAAGGGCTATCCATATAACAGGGAGAGGGGCTCCATATAGAATGGTTCCCACAATGAATGATTCCCCAAATTCAACGTTAGTCCACTCCAAAACTCTTAACTTTTCAAGTTGATTTACTTTGAGAATGTACTTCTTGTTTCAAAATTCTACTATTTTGAAACTCTTTAACTGTGAAGTTGAACCACACCCGAAAGCTTCAACTTGCTAATCTACTTAACAAAGTGTAAATTTCAGAGATGATTAACTTCAAACCGTCTTCACTTCTAAATACACCTACATCAGACTCTTCCTCATTTCAAATATCTTTCCACTTTAAATATTTCCACTTCAAATTTTTTCGCAATTTTTACCACTTCGAAATTTCCACGCTTCAAACTTTTCTCCGCTTTAATTTTTTTACCACTTCAAATTTTCTGTATTTCAATTTTTTCTTGTTTGAATTTTCACCCCTTTAAATTTGTCCCCACTTGGAAATTTTTACAACATTGAATTTTTTTCCCACTTCAATTTTCTCCAGTTTGAAATTTCATTACTTTAAAATTTCACCAGTTTAAAAAAGAATGAACTCTCCGAAGCTGAGTTTTTGTTTTCTGCAGACTATGTCGACGTTTTCAATTGCCTATAACTTCTTCATTTCTCATTATTGTCCAAATTAAAGAAATACTCATATCTTACTTATATTTTTCATTTCATATTCAACAATAAAATTTCGTCATTGAATACCCCCATTATACTAATAACTGTGACAACATCAAATAATTATATAAACATTATTGAGTAAGGTTAGTTTTATTTCACATTTATTCAGCAATTCAATAGATGTTTGCGCTGAATATGACAACTTAGTTCAACATCTAGAATGACAATAATGATGGTAGTCTTCGAAATATCAATCATCCATTAAAATCGATCATATTTTAAGAAATAACAGAACACTCCTGGGATTAAAAATTTTCGGTTATTCACAATTTTATCAGACTAACTCTTTGATAAATAGCAATAATTTTGAGACTAGGGCGATCAAAAACATATTCTAATTCCTTAAATATTCGATCATCTAGATTGGTTAAATTCATTTTACTTCAGGGATTTGGATGCATCAATATTCGGTTGTTGGTGGATCGTGTCTTTCCATGTATCTAGGGATGCACATGCATAGTCCGTCTTCGAAACTTGAGTGTGAAAACTCTTTCACGCTTCCATTTGGATTGCACCGTAACTTAAGATAGATTCAAAATCATTCATCATTCAAGCTAATGGAATGGTTGAAATTTATGGAAATGATGAAATATGCTGTATGTATGATGTTTTTGTTTTTCATTTGTTTCTCGAGAGTGGTTTGAAATACCTAGAAGGGAGTCGATGCAGACCAATTAGTAGCAGACTTCTACCAATAGTCACTTTTCGGTCTCCGTTGGTTTAGAAATATATTCAGGGACATTTAGTAAAGATGATGAGCTGTGTCAAAAATTGAGAACATGAAAGAGTAAAATGAAGAAGAATTTTACAACTTTAAAACGGAACGACTTTGAAACTTGAGGACCTTGAAATTTGGCAACCTCGAAACTCAACAGCTCCAAAGCTTGCAAATTGAAGATTCGACAACGTTGAAGTTTGATAATGATTATTCTCACCTTGTGAAGAAAAGATGACTCCTGATTAGATGATGAGCTGCTGAGAAAAATAATTTCCAATCATATGGAGCAGACTACAGTCGCATAAAGCAGACTGGAGCCCTGATGGTTGGCACCCAGAGCTAACCCAGAGTGAACCCAGACTGGGTTGTGTCCAGCAACCCAGTCTGGGTTGAGCAAAAACACAGAGTTGAGGTTAAATGGTGAATTTGGAGGAGATCTAAAGGCAGGGTGTACTATGATCTTTTTCCGATTGTTGCTGAGTTATTTTAAGCATATAATGATATTGTTGAAGGATGTGGATAATTAAATGAATATGTTTGAACGCTAATGTGCTAGCTCTG